ATGATACCTTTCAGAAATTTCAATTGCCAACTACTTGGTTTTATCACCACTATTGGCTTATGGGCCTTCTATTGACTGTATGGATTTTTGGCTCTGTTCTGACACGCTATCACTTTGAACCCCCCCAAATCCGCGTCTAAGCCCTGCCGGGACAGCCGCAGAGCAGCCTTCCCTCCAGGACGGAGTGCTCCCCTACTAAGGCAGGAAGACGCCGTGCGGACTCCAGCCAATGTCCCTGGTGACCTCCAAACTCCTCGCTCTGGGTGGTTCAAGCTTAAACACCTATCTCTTTGGTCTACATGAACTCTAATGGTAGTTCAGCTCAAAATGTTCCAGTCTTTTTACCTGGATTTCTGGAATTTTCCCCACAGTTGAATGGCCTGATGTTCAACAAATACTCAAGGGAAACTCGTTTGGATTTCCGAAGCTCCGTCTCTAAGTAGCTCGATCTTCTCTGGGACGCGATTCCACAATTTCCAGCTGCCTTACTCTCCCCCAAGCCCAATCCCCATCTCCGTGGCTGAGCAGGACCCTTACGGTGAGTCTGGTTTCCCCATCAAGTGCTTAGACCCTGGCAACTGCCTTCATGTAGAAAGTAAGGGGGACACAGGGATCACCTCATTGGTGCCCCAACTCTCTATGTTGACTATTAATGAGCCAGTGTTTGAAAACAGCTGTTTCATAGCTTTTGTCCAATCTTCCAGTTGTGCGGGGCTGTGCAGGTCAAGTTCTCGATATTGTCTCCTGGCTGCAAGTTGAAACCCACACCTAATTTTTAAAAGTATTTTTGTATCCATCACTGGATTTCAGCCTCACAAGAATCCCACAAAGCAAAAATATAACCAGTGAGAGAATATATCACCAATAAAGGATACAGAATAGCTGAGAATATTATAACAGAAGTATCAATAATTGCTAATATGTATTGAGTACTCACTATGTGGCAGACACCATATTAAGCAGTTTACACATGTAAGTTCTCCCATCAGTGCGACAGCGCTATGAAGTGGGTGTTTTCCGCAGAAGAGGACACTTAAACACAGGCAGGCTCCGTACTCGCCCAGCAGGACAAGGCTGGTACACATGGGCAGGGCTGAGAAAAGGAACAAGCCACCTGGACCTAAGGCCCAAAGCCTTAAGCCACTACACTGTGGCAACTGTGCTGTTATTTCCTGCTGTATAAACACCAGCCTTCTGCACACAAAACAACTTGAGGGACGGGGGGAAGAGTATGGGTTACGGGGAAAGGAATGAGGCCTAGAAAAGAGCAATGGTTCTCGAGTGCAGGGGGAGCCACGTTCTCGTGCAGGGGGAGCGTGAGAAAATGCTGTTCTCAAAGGCCCTTGTGGTTGGGATATAAAATAAAATACATTTGCAGAATCCTCCCAGAGATACCATGCAATAAATGACAGTTAATCCACAAAAACCCATTTGACCACAATACAGCCAAAAACAGCAGCTTTATAAACAGTCAGTAAATACGTGCTGAGCGCCTCGTAGGTGCCACAAATTGTTCTGAGAGCTGAAGACACAGTCCAAAAGCCAGCCCAAACCCTGAATCCTGTCCTGAAATGTGCATCTCTACACAAGACAAATAACCTATAAATTAAAAAACTAAAAAGGGAGTAAGGTAACCTCGAAGAGGAAGACATGCTGAAAGAAAACCCTAAAGGCCGCTGCGGTGGAGGAGGAGGGGTGCACACTGCCGTTTCAGACAGCACAGCCAGCGCAGGGCGCGCCGAAGACAGGACGTGTGAGGCGAGACCTGAAGAACGAGGAGGTGGACGTCAAGAACAGGAGTTAAAAGCTCTTCCTACAAGAATTATAAAATAAAGCAGTAAAAGAACTGCATTCAAAAACACTGGGAAGGCCAGCGTGGTTGAAATGTAGTAAAAATGAGGGTGGTTTATGCTAAAGTTGATTTGAAAGGCAAGAACTTCTCATTTAACTTCACTATTTATGCTTTCAACTTATGTTATTTTCAAACTGTAGCCTCCACTTCTTTTTGGCAGAGTCACCAAACTATTCCATCCACCAGCCCCCTCTAGTTCTGCCCAGTCATTCTCTGCGTACATGCTACTCTAAAGCCAGTGCTAATGAGCAAAACAACCTTAATGGTCCCACAGTGTTCTCCATGCAAAACGCCGCACCCAATCCAGCGGATTTTCATGAAATGACTCCGTGTTCTGACACAGAAGCAAGAAAGCAGGAGTTACTCTGTTTATCTGCAAAGCTCTTATCTGCCCTCTACCACAGGGAGCTCAGGGGGCTCCCGTGGCCGTATCTGAATCACTTTCCCCTTTCACACACCAGTGTGGTCTAGGGAAAAAGGCAAAAACAACAAAGCTAATGAACGTTTAACAGTCTTTTACAGGAATTTCTAAGATGTTTTATGGACATTCTGAAAGTGATTTCATAAATGTGGGAAATTTACGGTTGGTTTTCTTCTGACTAAGACAGAGTGGCCCATCTCCTGAAGTTCCATAAGGCAAAAACCTTTGTGCCTAAAATACCGGATCGTTGTCCTTGATGGTTATTTATGTTCTACCGTTCCTTCCCAACTTGACATGCTGATATGTTTTATGCTTTGTATTAAACTATATTAGTAAAATATTACATAAGAATAAAAAAAATCAGACCTAGAAACTAAAATGTTGGTTCTTCAACTTTGACTCATTTATGACAAAAATGATTACGAAATCTAACCAGCCTAACCAATTAGAAGGGAAAAAAAAGAACAAAATAAAAAGAAAAGACGTAGTGCTTGTTCAGCTCTCCTGCTTTTAATGGCTCAAACTCTTCAAGACCCGGTGGGGGGACAGAAGACACCAGGCAGAGCGTCCCGGCCACGCTGCCGCTCCCCGGGCGAGCTGAAGAGTGGCCGTCCTCCCAGCAACCTATCCGGACACGCCTGCTGCTGGGCAGACGGACGTCGTCTGGAAGTCCTGTCTTCGGGGCAAATAAATCAACAGTTCTCATGTCGCTAACTGTAATTTTCCTAGTATCAAATGTTTCCTTCCCCACAGGTAAATGTTTCACGGCTTTTACAAAATGTGGCTCTCAGCAAATACTGCAGCAGACAGACCGACACGGGACGACGTCCTCCACACGGGTGCGCAACGACAGCACCCAGTCTGGTGCAGGGTGGGGCACCGGCCTCGCCCCACGCAGTCTGACCCGCCACATTTAAGTAGAATCTGAGTCAAAGCTCAACGTGTAACTTTCGGTTTACAAGAAACACAGGGGACAGAGAATCAAGTTAAGGAAACGATCAAATAGAAAACTGGTCTGGACGCTTCAAAATGTCAGTGTCAGGGGGATCAAAGTAGGGGACCCGAGTATACCCTAAAGAGACATACGCACCAAATGCAAGGTGTGGACTTTGTTTGGATTCTGGTTTTTAAAAAACACTATGTAAAGACGTTTAGACGAAAATGGGAAAAATCTAAATGTGAACTGGCTATCAGATTACAGAAGTGTTAATTTTCACAGTTTGACAGCTACTGTGTTGGTAAGAGAACACCCTCATTCTCAGGACAGGCATGCTGAATTCGGGGCCAGGTGTCACACCTGCAACTTACTTTCAAATAAATCAGTGAAAAATCCTAAGTACACAATTACGTGTGTATGTGTGTATATGTGGGGGGTGGGGGATAAATAAAGCAATTATTAAGAACTTTTTAATCTGCCCTGGCTGGCGTAGCTCAGTAGATTGAGTGCGGGCTGGGAACCAAAGTGTCCCAGGTTCGATTCCCAGCCAGGGTACATGCCTGGGTTGCAGGCCATAACCCCCAGCAACCGCACATTGATGTTTCTCTCTCTCTCTATCTCCCTCCCTTCCCTCTCTAAAAATAAATAAATAAAATCTTAAAAAAAAAAGAATTCATTTAAAAAAAAGAATTTTTTAATCTAATGTAAAGGACAGCATAGGAAGTAGAGTCAGTAACACTGGAACAACTACGTGTGGTGCCGGGTGGGCACTGGGAATATCGGGGGGGACACTCTGTAAAGTATGTGATTGTCTAATCACCATGCTGTACACCTGAAACTGAAACAAAATAATACTGAATGTAAAGTGTAATTGAAAATAAAATTTTATAAAATATTTGGGTCCAGACATATAGGATTCAACCATTCTTTCAACCTGAATATAGACTTGAAATATGTTTAAATAAAAAAGTCCTTCTCTACCTCGAGGTTATAGAGATACCCTTCTATACTTCCCTTTATTAACGGTGTAGTTTAACCTTTCACACTGAGATTTTTGATTCCTCTAAAATTCACTCTGTACGGGGCATGAGATATAGATCAGTTTACTCTCCTCTATACAAAGCTTTCCCTGAGCAACTTATGGAACAATTTGTCCTTTCCCTGGTGATTTGTGGAAGGTGGTTTTTGGTTCCACTGAAAGAGCAAAGCAGAGGAAAGGAAAAAATAATAATTAAAGTAGGAAAAACGGCAGGGGAAAAGGAAGAAAGGGTGCATATAAAGTATTAGAACTTAGCTGAGGAAAGGCTAAGAAAAAATGAAGCTACTATCACATTCCATATTTACTTAAGTATATAGGAAGTCAATGAAAAAATAACTGAAAAGCTATTTTTAAAAATATATACACAATCCAAGCTATTCAGAAAACATCTGAATTATGCGGTTCATATTGATACTATCACAAAGAGAAAGTTTCCAGAAACATCACCATCTCCTACCAACCAGTAAAATGGATTACGTTATACTGAGCATTTACTCCACTTTAGACAGAACAAAAAGGGTGGGCAGCACAGCATTACAAGAGACATTATAAGCATCTTGAAGACTTTGTCCTAAACGTTGAGATTCTATGGGAACATTTAAAGGGGACTTTAAAAACTGTTTCTTAAATTCAGCACCTAGATCAGACGTTCAAAACATGAACTCACAGAACTCCTAACTCTCTGTTCCGTTACCCACAGCTAGTCGGGCAATGCACCGCCCTCGGCACGGTGAGTCTAAACAAAACGCACCGTTTGTCTTCAGCCAGGCTGGCGCCCTGGTCCTTCAGCTGCTTGCTTCGCTCGGTGCAGCCCTCCAGGAGCACTTCTCTCCGGCGCTTCCCGGCGTGAAGCCAGGTGCCTTCCTCACTCTCCGCGGCGTCCTTTTCGTCCGCAGCTTCGGCTTCGAACTGCTGGGAAGTGGCCTTGGACACCTTCTCACCAATTTTCCTCTTCCATCCGAAGGAAGCCATTCTGGAAAATGACACAGAACGAGCTTTAAATTTCAAACCTGGCTCTTTAGAGCGTGCCGACTAGACGAACAAGGTATCAGGATCAGACTCGCGCCGTTTTTCAACTCCTAATTAGCCAGTGGCTCCAGGAAATAGTCATCAAAGGCTGCTAACTAAACATCAAGAAAGACAACTGGATGCTATGCTTCTCCCGATGGAAGTGACACTCCACGCACGATGGACTCTGTCCAAAACTTAATTCTGAATCAGAGCTAGCCTCTGATTTGTAAAAAAATGTGGGATCCAGATGAGCATGCAAAATAAAATGACAGAGATGCAGACAGAACAGAAAAATAAACAAAGCTGGTTTCTTCAAGAAATAAACTGTCAGGAAAAAGAGAGAGGGAGGGAGGGAGGGAGGAAGATGGGAGGTAAGCCCTAGATTAAGGGAGACTAAGAGATACAGTAACTAAACAGAGTAAGTGGATCTTTTTTAGCTCTGGGTTCAAACAAGCCAATGGGGAAGAAATAAGGGGAATCAGAACACTGATCGGATATTTGATGATATTAAAGAATAAGTGGTATTTTAGGTGTGATAAGTAATACTATGATTTTGTTTAAAACACCCTTATCTTTTAGGAATGCATACTAAAATATTTCACATGAAATTATATGATATTTAGGAGTTGTTTCAATGTAACCAGTGGGGCCTGGGGTGCAGCAGAGAAATATAGATGGAAAGTCTGCTGTGACTGGACAGCTGATGCAGTTAGGTGATCAGTACATAAGATTCCTTATACTTTTCTCTCTCTCCATGTATGTTCGACATTTTCCATAATAAAAGGTTTTTAAAAGATTCACATTTGGCAAGTTCACAGTATTGGGTGAATCAAAAAGATAACAAATGTTAAATTGTTTTGCAAATCTGCAAGGATACACAAATGTAAGAGGTAGAAAAGAATGCAAGCATCCTGATGGAACAAAGTGAAAGGAAACCCTGGAAGAATTCAACAAACATTCACTCAGAGAAGGGATTTACTGAGGGATCCAAGAACTCTTCCTCAGCTTAAAAATACTGAGAAACCCAGGGAATTTTTATATAATTTTGTATACACCTGTGTGCATTCTTAAAGGGGTCTAGGACCCCAAGGAGCTTAGAGTTCAGCTGATCAACCTGAGGGATAGGAAACCTAATCACCCAGAAGTCTTCACAAAACGATCAAAGAAAGGGCATTGTGGGAGTGAGGGAGAGGGAAAAACGAAATAGTGGATTAGTTCTAACAGGTATCGAGGTCTTCACTCCCGATTCCCACCTGCAGTGTGAGTAACCACTAGGCAGAGAGGGCAGAACGAGGGAGCAGGGCTGTGCGGCTGTTCACCGGGAAAGGCCCGGGATAATGCAGAACTGGGAGGGGTAAGGAAATTGTGAATTATGTGCCTAAGTTCTTTTCTTTTCTATTTTATTAAACTATATCTAGAGAGTGAGAAAGAGAAAGAAATAAACATCAATATGTGGTTGCCTCCCATGCACCCCAAAGTGGGGACCTGGCCCACAACCCAGGCACAAGCCCAAACTGCTAATCGAACCATTTTCGTTCACCAGCAGGCACTGAGTCAACTGAGCCACACCAGCCAGGACACATGCCTAAGTTCTTGATGAACACGAGTGAGTGCCAATAACCTACAGCCATCAAGAAATGTATAGGCTGATACGGGTGACCCAGATGCACAAAAGAGCAGGGATTTTTAGAAAAACCCAAAGTATACTAGGGAATTAGGATAATGTCAATGACCCAGACCCATTATAATATGAGAGATGAGATTCCTGTTTGAAGATGACTATAAGTAACTCAGGGGAAGAACCAAGAAATGGCTGAAAACGGAAGTGTGGTCACTATGGAACAGAAGCCCAGAGGCACAGATTGAGGACAACGTGAGAGAAGGGATCATCAGGAAAGTCTCACAAGACACCCGGATAATTCAAGATCAGAAAGAAGGGTTGTGTTTATGACTGTCCTTAAAAGTGACAAGAAGGAAGATGATTTAGTTTTCCGGTTTCAAGTTTCCAAATGGAGCTTTGTGAGGCACCCTAACCCTATTCATACAGATGGACACCTGGTGTGCTTATTAAGGCAAATCACATCGTAACTCACTGGTCAGGTCTGGAGATTATTGGCAGCAGGGGTTAGGGTAGGAGGAAAAGGAAAAAAGGACAGACAGACACACATGTACTTTTTAAAAATTAGTACTTCCTTTAGACTCCCACTACCACCCCCCACCCTCCAACCCAAACCACGGTTATAAATGCTGGAGACAGGTAGGTACAGGTCAAGGCCCCAGATGGTGGTTCTCAACCTTGAATGAAAAAGCCACACTCCCCACTGCCTCGGTGTTTCTGCCATTCTTCTCCAGAAGTCCTAGAGATCAAAGGCTGTGGAGGTCAGGACTCGATGAGGCTTTAGGGGTATAACAGGCCTGAGGTCCCCCATCGGTTGACAAGTTTAGCCTCGATGAGAGGGACAAGAATACACTCCTCTTGAACATGAGCTAATATTGAATGAAAACGATAGGCAAGTTCAGGGGAAGAGAAAAAAGAAAATGACAAATTTCATATCCCAATTTTCAGAGAAACAGGAGGCTAGTCACCCATGCCAAGTAAAGCAAAAAGAATAGATCTGAGACATGACGACAGGAAAGATCTGAAAGAGCCACTGTGAAGGATAGGAAAAGCACCTGTAAGGGATGCCAAACAGTATCGAGGGTGCACTGAGGTTAAAAAGCACCAATCTCTGACCAAAACCAATAGTACAGTTTTATACCTTCTTCAAAATTGTCTGGAGACCACAATTACCCTTTGCAACAAAAAAAAAGTGCTATCACAGAGTAAGCAAAAAATGCTAGAATGTCAGAGAAGAAACACTTCAGGTACTTTTGAAAAATAAAAATTAGCCAGGTTTTTTAAAAAGAGGGGTGAGTCCTATAACATTCTTGTAAAGAAGGCTTTCTTGAATCTGTAGTTAGATGCACAAGGCACCAACGCCCTAACCTTTACATTTTCCACCAGGGCAGAAAAAACGTATAGATAAATCATAGTCAAATGGGTTTCGTGTTAAACTCATAAAACAACACAAAATCGTTTTCAGCAGAGTTGTATTTAATTAATGCCATGAAAATTCGAAACAACGATGTTGCATTCTAAATTCTTTTGCTGATACAATGAACCCTACAGTAGGCACTGGATTACTGCTGCCGGCATGACAGTCCGCCCAGGCCCCAGCCTGAAGCTCTCGTCCTCGCAGAGTCGGAGGGTGCAGCACCGGAGGCGAGTAACTGCTGGGTGAACACGGCCAGGAAATCAAAACAGAACCCTTCTGGGTTCAGCACGTATTCAGAGGTCGGGAAGTCAAGAAACGATTTACCCGAAAATGTCACAGCAAGACTGAATCCAGGATTAGCGCCGTCCCTTCATTTTTCACAATAAACATGTGCCAAGTTCATCAAAGCTGCCCGGAAGGTCCTCGCGAATTCCCTAGCCCCGCCCTCGGCCGCAGTCGGGTGCACACGGTTCCGCCCCTCCCACCGCTAACAGCACCGACTGCCAGAAGGCGCAGGAGCCGACCGAGCGCCGCTACCGGGGAGGGCCGGACCCCCAACCTGCTCCTCCCTAGACACCAACCTTCGTGTCCCCGCTAGGCCACAGCCCCGCTGAATCTCAACTGCAACTTCTGAAGCACCTTCCGCCCTAACCACAAGTCCCACTCGTCCCCTTTTCCTGCTCTTCCTCAGGTTTCCAGCCCCAACCGGGTAGCCTTACTTACCTGATGACAACTTCGCTCCCGTGTTTACATTCCGCTTGCCCTTTGCCCACCGGAAGCGGAAATCATCATACCCGACCTCCGACCTGCCTACCTTTAATGCAAGGGCTTCCAAGGTTGGAAGTTGGCTGTCCCCCCGCAGCGTGCCAACCTTCCAGAGAAATCGGCAGGGAAGAGGAGCTTCTCAAAGCCTTTTTCATCCGCCAAGCTCTTCCCCTGGACCACAAATCCCAGAAGTCGCTGCGGCCCACCCTACCCCACTACCCTCTGGGACTTGTAGTCCGGCCCACCCCGGCTGGGGGCGCTCTCCAAGGGCAGGCGGGAGTGTCGAGTGCGCAGGCGCTCGCGGTGGGAGAGCATGGGAAGCTGGCTGCGCCGCTGACCTGCCCCCCGAGAAGCAGCCTGCGGAGCCTGACGGCGCACCCACTCGTGGGCAGATAAAGCGGGCGAGGCACGGGGAAAACGATTGGGGGGACTTCACTGCATAAAGATATGCCCCTGCTTTAAAAGAGTTCACACCCTAGCTAATGACGTCGGCCACACGCAGAAGCCAGAGGCAAACTCACTGAAAAGGGGGTCTGGGGAGCGGATTCGTGGGTACAGGTGCTCAACTGTGGGCTTCACGTAGGAAAACAGGAGTTGAACCTAGATGGGAGAATTTCGGTCTGGGAAAAAAAGCTGTGCTTCACGTCTTGAAAATAAAGAAGGGCGGGCAAGTCACCCAGGGAAATGTTGAGGCAATTGAACACTTGAGATGGTTGTCACTGCAGTTGCGGGGGGACAAAGGAAGACCGTTTCGGTCGGCCGGGCTCCCTCGGCCGCGGCCCTGCCTCCAAGGTGGGGAGACCCGCTCACAGGGGCGCCGCTCGGAGCTTCGCGGCGGCCCTGCGCCCCAGCCGCCAGGGGCCCTTCGCGCCCACGGCCGCCGCCGCCAGCTGGGACCTCCAGACGTCGCTGGAAGAAAAGTCCTGCCACCGCTGCCCCGCGGAGACCCACCGACGCGAACCGGTGATCCTCCGCCCCCCGAAACCGTGTCAAAGTCAAAGCCGTTTTCACACTGCTACGGAGACGTCACGGGCCCTTTTCCCAGCGCCGACCTTGGTTTGCCCCAAGAAGGTGCAAGTGTGAGTGGAGAAGCGCGGGCGCCTCCGCGGCCATCCAGGCGGCGGTCACAGCGCAGGGGCAGTCGTCGCTTCTTCCCCGCACGGAGCTCGGAAAACAGTCGTCCCTCCAAGACCGCCTTGGGGAAGCAGTGAAGATTATTAAAATGACCCTTGCGTACAATTGTTTGGAATGCTCTGTAGGAGGAGGGGTTACTCACGGGGTACTGGTGCTGCACCCTGAAGTGTGAGGTCCCCGTACAGGCGCCTGTGAGATCGCCTCCCGGACCGAAGTGCCCACAGCTTCATTGGGGCATAACTTCTACCCACGACGGATGGACCGGCTGGCTATTCCAGGCTTAGGTAGTTGCCGGGCCTTCTCTTGACATTGAACAAAGGGAGCCTGTTTCTTGCAAGAAAACAAGTGGTCGTGTTGCCAATGATACAATTCGAACATTGAAACAAAAACTGTGGTTTTTGGAAAACATCTGCCATAAGGATCTTGACAGCTCCCCAACACTTCCATACTTTTCGGAGGTCATCACGGGTGATAGGAGGTGTGACTTGTATGTATATGGTTGGATTAAAAGGCATCAGCATTCGTCAGGGCTGCGTAAGTGAACCTGTAGATCAAAGGCGGTCAGCGCAGGACCGCGGGGGCCCTCCTGCTCCTGGCACCCATTCCCGTGGTTCCTTCCCCCTCTGCACCCGGGCTGTTCGTGCTAATTACAGGACGTCGCTTCTGTTCTAAATTATAGAGACACTAAGATGGGGACCGTGTTTCTTAAGCTGGGTAGAGGTTTACATACCGTGTTCACTCACCACAAACCTAAAACCCTGAAAATTCAAGCCACACTTACGGTTTGTGCGCTTTTCTGCATATACCTCTATAAAAGTCTTTAAAATGCACCCATCTACCCAAGGCACTCAGGGCTGGTTGTATGCCAGGGGGTCACATGGGTAGTGCCTGGTTCACAGCAGCCGTAGGAGGGGATGTATTTCACAGAATAATCAAATGATGCATGAAGTTGCCCTGACTGGTGTGGCTCAGTGAACTGAGCCCCAGCCTGCAAACCAAAAGGTCGCGAGTTCTATTCCCAGTCAGGGTGCATGCCTGGGTTGCGGGCCAATGTTTCTCTCCCTCCCTTCCCTTCTCTCTAAAAATAAAGTGTTTTTTAAAAAAAGTGACAGCGGAAACAGCCAACACAATATCCAGCCAACACAGCCATCCAGAGTGAATCAATCAAAATTATTACTTTTTTGTCAGATCAGCAAAATACATTTTTGGGGTGGGCTGCAGAATTCTAGTAGTTTTACGTGTGCCATGAGATGGAAAAGGTCGAAAAGCGTCCTAGCCGATGTGGCTCAGCCGGTTGGACGCTGCCCCACAAAGCTGCAGGTTACCTCTTGATCCAACAGTCTGGGCAGAGGCCTGGGTTGTGGTGTTCAGTCCCTGGTCGCGGCGCGCAGGAGTGGCAGCAGGTGGATGTTTCTCTTGCACATCCATGTACCTCTACCCCTCCCTTCCCCTCCCTCTAGAATCAGTAAGCATGTCCTTGGGTGAGGAGTAAAAAGGTTGATGGAACTCACGGATTTAGTACAAACCTTGCCTATCAAAACCACGTGGAGTACATTTAATTCTAACTGAATTCTACCAGTAGTGGAGTTCTAACTAAATCTAATGTTAGAAGCTAGAGAGAAATGGTAAATGCGTTGGCTTTTATCATATATTTTTAAATATTTTGTTTGGGTGGTTGATTTTTAGGTGAAATCAAAGCTAACTTAGTTGAGACAAAAATTACAATGTTTGAATGTTAAAGTTTGTTCGAGCACTGTATTTTATATTTAGGCACACTGTTTTAAAAGGAAGGTGTACGGATGGTCAGCCATGAAGGGCTGTATTCTTTTATTTCGTTTTCCCAGAGGTTAAAAAAAGCTAAGCACATTGTAACAGATGAAAGATGTTTTCTTCATTATCCATTTTCTAAATCTACGTATTTTAAATTATATACTTAAATATACTCCATTCCAAACACATATGAACATGTCTCAGAATACTGCACCACCAACATTGATTTCTACAATCAATTTATAGTTGTGTTGTATGTGGGATCTCATCATCTGGTCAGAAGTCAACAGGAAAGGGAGATCTCCACTGTGCAGGTAGGCAATGGAAGGAGTCAGGTAAGGTTCAGACAACACACATTTCTCTTTCATCCAAAGGTGCCGGTCAGGCCCCAGAGGCAGAGACCTGCGTCTGTGAATGGTGCCACCACGGGGTCAAAAAGGGCGGGGCAAGGGGGCAGAACTGTTTGTATCAAGTCATTTAAAACTGAAAAACTATAAAAGCATCTCAAGAGAAAATATAATCAAAGTAAAAGCAATGGAGTTTATTTCAGTGACATTATTTTAAATTAGATATGATATATTAAGCTCCCATGTCCCCCAACCTGGTAGAAAAATTCCTCTCAGAGAGAAATCATTTACTTTAATGGCAAAATTTTTACATTTCAGTAAAATCTGTTATATTTAAAACTATGTATATAGTACATTTCTGGCAAAAACCTTATACATCTTTCAGTTGTCAAAACAAAGTAAAAATATGGTTGCATAAAATCACAAAAAATATAAATTGCTGAAAAGATAATAAAAAAAGATTAAAAATCATTTGCATTGACTCCTTTACATCTTCAATTAGTAAGAATTTGCAAACTACAATAAATTTGTGAAAATTCTGGTGCAACCTTTACACACGCAACCAAAAGTTGTCATTTCAAATATCCCAGCTTAAAAAAGAATTTACTGCAATAGTCCATGCATTTATCATACTATTTGTACAAGTGCAGTATTTAAATATCTTCACAATACAACTGAGTAACTAAAAGGAATCACAATAACTTAAAAAGAAGCAAAGTTTACAAAATTAACAATTTTTGGAAGGTCCTCTTGAATTGGTTCCTCCATTTGCTCCCCACCCACCCACAACAGCTTATAGAGACATTACAACAATGTCTTAGTTCTATATACAGATTTGTAACTTCAAAAATACAGTTGTCTGTTCTTAACATCAGGAACAAATGTTGCATTTAGAGACCTACTTAAAATCAGTATCTTCAAAACAAAGGGACCACATTCAAGTTAGAACACAGTTTTGAACTTATGTTTAAATGGAACTGCTATCATTTTATATAGCTTCCAGATTCCAAATTGAACAGAAGCAGCCCTGGGCAAAAAGAAGCCAAGATTTTTCTTTTGAATTCAGTGCATGTTTCCAGGGGTGCTGGAGCCAAACCTACAACAAAAGTAACTATGTGAGCTCTCATGACATCTGAGTATATTATTGTCTAATTACACAGGCGCTCAATGTATTTGCAAAAAAAATAAAAAACAAACAAACACAAAAACCCCACATTAACAAGTAGTCTTGAAAGGGAAAAAAAGATAACGCTGTTGTAATGGAAAACTGATTAATAGGAAAAATACCAATTTCTTGAAGTTAAAATAGTATAAGGCAAATATGGGTAATATTTTTATTTTTAACTAGCATACATGATACTAATTTTATCTGAGGTGACTTTAAATCTTCATTTATACCTATTATGTAATGCTATTACTAAGAGCAACAAAAACAAAATAAATGAGAAATCTCAGAAAAATAAAGTGTCTTTAGGCAGTTCCCATAATACCACTTTTTAAAAAGGAATTAAAATTCAAAACAAAGATGACCGTTTAGAACTGTCCAATTTGTTCCGTATTTCATCAAAATGTCGTACCCGACTAAGGAGACACAACCAAATGCAATGTGTAAACTGGAACTGGACCTGGTTTGGAATAACCAGCTATAAAAGAAATCTGGAGAACAAGTGAGGCATCTAAATATGCACGATCAGCTGACATGAGGGGATTATGTTTATAATAGGATGGCTTTTTAAGGACAAGCATCATTATTTTTAGAACACGCTTGACGTGTGGAGGGCCGATGGGTATGTCTGCAACATCCAAATGGTTCAGGGAAGAAGAGCGTATCCTATATACACATATATGTATAACCAGATCTATATACACAACTAGATATAAAGCAGACGTGGCAACATGTTAACAAGCATCGAATCCATGTGGTGGATACACATGTAAAAATGTTTATAATCAAATCTGGGGGGAAAGTCGTATCTGGACATTTAAATAGTTGGTAAGAGATGTTTCTTTCTGTGCACTGAATCAATTTGAAAGATACATAATCGAGTAACAAGAAGTGTTTGCACACATTCAACACTGACGGACAAGTGCAGAGGAATCTGTGAGGTTGGCAAAAACCACATGATTATTTACAGCATATGCAACTTGGCTCTGGGGACGCAAAGAGCCATTTATGTACAGAATATAACAGGACAAATTGTTACGATTAAACTTAGTGCCTAGAACACCTCGATATGTTAATTCCGTGTGTGTTTTTTTTTTTTTTGACTGAACAAAGCTAGAGAGAGAACCTCCACGGGCCTGCATGGCTCTGACGGGACTCACCCCACACTGCAGCAGACCGAGGGGGGGCATGGAGGAGTCACCCACACTCTCCCTGCCGTCGGAAGGTACCTGCTACTCACGTGAACGAGCCTAGGAAACAAAACTCGCCTATAAAGTTCTCTGAGGATTCTAGGCAAATATTTATTGAATTTATGAAGCAAATATATAACACAACATGGGATAATAGATGAAGGCCTTTATGGTAAATTAATATTCTACAAAGCCCTGTGTACAACTAAATATAAAATAGCCAAAAATCAAGTGAGCCTGAGAGACCTACAATTCATTGTGTATATTATATTATGCGGTATGCCTGCTGAACAAAGAACAAAATTATCTTAATTCATTCTTGCACATTAGGGTTTTAACTATGAATCGCGTTCCAGTCCCTGTGCGAAATACATTCCAAAGGGCCGATCCTCAGTTATAGTGATGTGTAACTTGATTATAAATGGAAGCATTTGGCTATGATTTATTATGCATGCTTATTGCTATCAAAGAAATAAGCAAAGTTTTAGGTTTACTGTGCAAGAATTTTAATTAGATTCGCGCACATCTCGAAAAATTCTATTGTGTGGCTTCCGGGTCTTGGAGTTAAGTCAACAGGAGAAGAGTCAAGTGAGGTCACAGATGAGGTAAGAGAAGCTTCTGAGGATCTTCCTTGAGCCTCAGCGTCCGAGTCATTCCTTTGGCAAGAGCGATAGTTGCTAACTGATCCCGACCTCTGTGGTGTAGCGGTCCCTGACTTGGCTTCAGTAATTTCATCTGGGTAAAAAAACAATTCAATTTATTATAATCCATTACACCACTAAAAAAGATTTTTTTAAATTTTTTTAAAGATTTTATTTATTTATTTTGAGAGAGAGAGAGAGAAACATCAATGTGCGGTTGCTGGGGGCCATGGCCTGCAACCCAGGCATGTGCCCTGCCTGGGAATCAAACCTGCGATGCTTTGGTTCACAGCCCACGCTCAATCCACTGAGCTACGCCAGCCAGGGCCAAAAAATATTTTTAATAGTGTTTCATTTTCTTCTTTGAGTGTGGCCATTGACCAGCTAACAAGAGCATGTCTATTTTGAATACTTTCTCAAACAGAGGAAAAGCACCTGTGTGAAATCACTCACCTTTTTCACACACAGGTGCTCTCCTGGTGGCTAATCAAGACTGGGTACAGTACGTAGCTACTCATCAGTCTTGCAGTCCAAGATTAAGAGCCCAATAAACTAATAACTTGTGGCTTCATAGACATCTTCCCCTAGCAATAAAAATTAACCCCTCTGAAATGAAGTCACAGAATAAATGCACTCTGAAGATATTTTGGAAATCATCTCATCCAACTCCTTGTTTTTTCAATATGAAAAGAAACCCCCCAAAGTTAAGTGACTTCCCACAGGTAACAAATGAAGAGAGAACCCAAGTCATCCTGGTGCTTTTCACGCTCCTTTTTCTCTTCCTATTGGATTCAAGGTCTCATAAAGGAGCAACAATGCACCAAATCATGGCAATGATCAAAAGCAGGAAAAAACTAAAGTTAAGAACACAACACAAAAACAATAAATGGTCATTGCACTGGTAAACCTAGGTGCTAAGGTTGAGAATCTGATCCAAATCCAATGAGAAAAGTAAAACCCTTTCCAGATCTCAGACCGCATTAGGACACGTTAGCGGATAAATACCCTTTGGACATAAAGATAAGCAAACAGGTTTGGCCAGCATATCACAGCTCATCTGTCTCTTTCTGATACTATGTAGATACTATCTTTGAGTTTATAAAGAAGATAAAAAATTCATAGGTGAATCTCACCTGACAATTCCATACAATCTTAGATGAACAAAAATGACAACACATCTTAACTCAATTGATTTGGCCAATGAAGAAAGGCCATAAACATTTAAGCACACTTTTTGAAAGGTAAGTAACATCAGAATCATGTAACTATCACAAAAATTACAAAAGATGCTGTCTCTGATTATGTCTCTATTGCCAGGCTGGGAGGAAGAGGTAGTTCAGAGGAGGAAAACAACCAGAAGCCCCTACAAATAGGTCTCTCTCAGGCACCCTGCAAGAAACTGTACCCTGCAAATAATTCCTTGTCCTATGAGCTACTAATCGAATCCACTTACAGTGCCTTTTCACTCAACTCTAAAAGCTAATAACTATATTCTAATCCTTAAATGAAAAAGATAAACATTTTATTAAATATCAGATATAAAAATTATTTAATGAAAACTTACAGAAAAGGCAACGATTATTTCTAAGTAAAATATTTTATCTGCCCTGGCTGGTGTAGCTCAGTGGACTGAGCGTGGGCTGCAAACCAAAGGGTCGCCAGTTCGATTCCCAGTCAGGGTACATGGCCTGGGTTGTAGGCCAGGTCCCCAATGGGGACCACGTGAGAGGCAACCACACATTGATGTTTCTGTCTCTCTTTCTCTCTCCCTTCCCCTCTGTTGAAAAATAAATAAAATCTTTTTTAAAAAGGCAAACATTTTATCTTATCAGAATGAACCACATCCAAAAAAACAGAAATGTAACAAAAACTACCACTTTAGGACCAGACTGCATCTGGCTTTAAGGAATCTACAAGATAATCTTAAAAAGTCAATGTGCTCTAAGATTACAAGAATAACAAGACTCATAGATGTTGACATCACAAAGGCACAAAATCTCACATTTTACATTTTTTTTGCTATTGAGTTACTAGAAAGGATTCAAAAAGCTTCAAAAGAATCAAAGACTAAAAAGCCAAGTCAGGTAACCAAATCTAATATGCCTCTATGGTGCTTTGTGACATACATACCATCAATACTTCGGAAATCCAGTAAATACGTTCGACTATCCACTTGGTATAACTGCAGGCTCATTTTGGAGTATGTACTCGTCACAGGATTCTTCCTTCGGACTCGCAGATAGTATGGGTTTACAACCTAGCGTACCGTGTGGACAAAGACAACGTCAAAAGCCATTCTTCTACAAAACGCTACAAGTTTGCAAACGTACTAATAGTCAGAACGCCCTTTCCTACCGTCCTACCTTCCATTCATAATCCAGTTGTTTAATTGCTCTACAGACTTCTGCCATGATATCATTTGGTCGACTCTGACTCCTAATTCCCAAATGCCATTTTGCTCTCCTTACGCCTTGGTGTTTGGATTTCTGTGGATTTAACTCATCAAGGGTATGGCGTGCCCTTGGTGTCTCAGCGACCAAGAAGGGTACTCTTTCAGGATGAGGCCGAGTCAAATGGTGATCATCGAGAAAAGAATCAGGTGGGCTCGTCGCCAAGTAAAAATCCTTGGCCTCATTCATTATCCTCCTGTTATCGATGATGAGGTGGTAGGCGACCGCCAAAGGGTCCTGGTGGTTTCTGTTATAGAGGCAGCTGAGGACCTCCTCCTCGGAGCACTCAAATTTCTCACACACTTCTTTTAAGGCTTCATCGTCAATCATGGTTGAGCTATATGACGGATCCTCAGGAAAGAGATATTTGGGAAGATCCTGCTTAAACCATTCATGCTCCCTGAGAGAAAAAGGCAGGGCCAGGAGAAGGATTTTGAGTAGAGACAAGACGGAAAATGAGACGGTATTATCATCTTTTTTAAACTGAGACTTTCTGGCTCACATTTCACTGTATATATCAGAGGAAATGCTGCAGCCTCCCTCGGATTTTAAGAGGGAGAAAGCATTGCTGTAGTAACAGGAAAAGAAATGTAGATACTTTAGGTTACATCTAAATTGTAAAAATATGTTAACAAGAAAAAGCATCTCTCACTTAGATATTCCAAAATGTAAATCTTAGAGAACGTGATTCGTCCCTTTCATCAGCTGGTGAACCCACGCCCTGACCTTTGCACCCGTTTTGGCCGGTCTGCAGCACACGGAGCGGAGGGAGAAGACCCAAGCTCTGCACGCCCAAGTAACCCTTCCTCCTTCTCCACCTCCCTAACGTTTCCTTGTTTCCTATCCCAGATCTGCACCCGATTTCCTCCTTCCTTGTCGCTCCATCTTGGAGAAATGTGCCGTCTAGTGACACTCTCCAAAGAGAAATTCCCATGGGGCGGGGGGAAGGGGGGAATACAGAATGGTAGAAGAAACATTATCTGCAGCAAATTTTAAAAGTCATCATCAGAAGTGGCTCACTCAGCCCTGACCTCTGTGGCTCAGTTGGCTGGGCATTTTCCTGCAAAGAGAAAGGTCGCCAGTTTGATTCCCAGTCATAGCACATGCCTGGGTGGTGGATTTGGTCCCCATTTGGGGCGTATACCAGAGGCAACCCAATCGATGTTTCTCTCGCACATCGATGTTTCTTTTCCTCTTTCTCCCTCCCTTCCCCTCTCTCTAGAAATAAAATGAAATATATGTTAAAATTTGAGAAGTAAATTTGTCACCATCACTTTTGTCTTATTTAAGCTATTAGTTTGAACCATATGAAAATGGCCATGTTGACAGACTTTTTACCTACAAAACAGCAATTTCATATGTGATTCAATGTCTACTACTACAAAAAATGCATGTCAATGACTATTAAAATGTCCTCATTCCTTGAGATGAACAAAAGGAAAAAATATAATTCATAAGATCAGAACTCAAATAGCTACATGTAAATTTACTACTAAAAAGTATTCATCCTAATGGGAATACATAAAAGTCAGATACAAAGCACACTCTAGAACAGTGTAGAGAACCACTGTAAAAATCGAACACCCTTCCAGTGTCCTTTTTCTATTAGTTATTTTTTTAATTTAAAAAGTAATGTAATGTTCATTATTATCATTTCAAAACAAAGATGCATAAAAATAAGTAAAAACTGCAAGTCCTCCCTCCTACCAATCCTCCTTCCCTAAGGTAGCCAGTATAGTGTGTCTTTTTAAATAACAAAATAAATAAATGTGTCTCTACACACTACTTTTAACACAAAAATAGCACATGCTGTCCTGTAACTTCTTCTTTCACTTCACTGGCATCACCGATACCGTCGGATCTGGTCACCCCCAAGCGGCTTTAGTACCTGATGTCTTTGACCGTGGCCCTCTTCATGGGGTCCACCTGCAGCATATGTTTCAGGAGGCTGATCACAGAAGGGTTTAAATACTGGGGGGTGTAAAAGATGCCATCACAGATCTTCTTAAAAAGGGTTGGCACGTGGTCGTCGTCAAATGGGAGGGTTCCGCACAGCAGAGCGTAGAGGATAACCCCACTGCTCCATATGTCTACCTCGGGGCCTGCGTACAGTCTGCAACAGGAGACACCCACGGGGTTAAGTGCTCATCGCCGACTTAAGAGTCAGTCACTGTGCAAAAATGTTAAGAATGGATACTGAACAAGTACAAGGGGGAAACCCCCAAAAACCTGGAATTATCTTCTGACAGGTGGGCCCCTGGTAATACAGGCTCCCCCATCAGCTGAGTGTGCTAGGAGCCCATCTGTATCGGTGCACCTGTTGGCATTGTTGTGAGAGGCTGCGTTGGGCTTCAGTGAATTTCTTTGGAAGACTCTTTCACCACGTCTGCCCATTTCGTGACGGGTGATTTATGAGCGCACCTGCCCGCACCAAGCTGTGCTCGGCAGTTTCTGACCAAAAGCAGCCCGACCCCAATGCCCTACCCTCCCTATGCACCCCATCTCACCCTAAGCAACTTTTTTTCTTTCCCCCGATGAAAAAAAGTCCTCAAATAGAAACATTCTGCCGATGTGGAAGAGGTGAAACAGAAACGGCAGAAGCACTGAAAGGCATCACAACTGACGAGTTCAAAAACTGCTCTGAGCAGTGGCAAACCACCTCGGTAGGCGTACTGCATCGGATAGAGTGCACTTTGACGGTGACTGAGGTTTAAACATGTTAGAGTAAGAACACAATTTTTATAAATAAATCCTGGGTTTTGGGGGGTCCCCCCCTTGTAATTATCAGTCAGAATATAGTTTGTACAATCGCTGCTGAATACTACACATAAAGATTTTATACTAATTCTATCCGTATTTTCTTTGAAAACAAAAGTCAAGAATTTTTTTTAAGTTACAGACTGTAGCTAAACTTCTGTCCTCACTACCTTAGTACAGTCCTCATGAGATCCAACCAGTAAGGCCAAACCTTGAACAAACATATCGTCACTGAATTTAAAGCCCTCACAGTTTGGTTACAGAGGAGGGAGTAAGTGACCTTGGCCTGAGGCTGGGGAAGGAAGCCAAGTTAACTGGTTCACAGACGACTCTGTTTGCAATACACTGTAGCCAACTGACCAGCCTAGTTGGAGACTAGTTAGATAACCCATTCAAAGTTGGGCTTCAGAGAAAGGATTTATTTAAATTGTCAAATAAATTGTTGTACTGATCAATAAGCACTGTTTTGAAAGTAAAAGTTTCCATTCATACGACCTTACAGAAAGGCCTTATGCAAACCAAGAAAATCAGACTTCCGTCATGGCCCATTGCATATATGCGCGACTACAATAACTTGTGTCTATGTATTTAACCCTGCTCCCAGTATCCACGGTCCTGAATTGTTTTATCCCCTAAAGAACTGAGACAACACAAATGGAACAGTTATTAAAAGATTTTTAAACATTAATATAAAACGATAAAGCTTGATAAATCTAAATTTAGGATACTTTTGCCTTATTCATAGTAATGACTTGACAGAAATGTAATTTCTCTGAGCGGGCTAGGCAAGCAAGCTTATGGTCATCGAAAGAAAGCACTATAATGTCTCCGCATTGTGAATTAAGCAGGATGTGAAACATTCAGACAAAGAAACATGTTTTAAATAAAAGTTCTTAAAAGTTAATTATAAAAACTAGTAAACAAAATCAACCTTCTGTTTTGAATTTCAGTGGTATAGTGAACAATTACTCTTACTTAAAAAATTTAAATTTCCCTGTTGTCTAAACTATTCAAAAAGCTGTATCTTACAAAAATTCTCATCTTCTCAAACATTAGGTTAGTAAATTGAGAGGTTACATTTTTTTAAATAATTTTGCAGTCTCTAAAAGATTTTTTAAATGAAAATTCAAAATGAACGGAGTCTGAAGATTTTATTAATACTTGAGTCCAATTCTCCAAGACCCTTATCCTAAAACCTTAAGCCACGATAAAATACCATCTATTTGAAAAATTAAAGCTACATACTATACTTTTAATTCTTCATCTAAGTAAACAGTAAATCACTCTAACGATTAGATATTTCTGTATTATTCAAGTTTTTAATGTCATACCTATCTTTAAACTCGCTATTGTTAAAGCTTCAACTTCTTCTACCAGGAAAATAAGTATTCTCATCTAACTACTTTAATATAATATTGACTTTGCATACCAATATTTTCCTCCATAAATGGAGTCCTTAATTATAATGTTTTATTCTTAGAACATTTTCTGGATAAGAAAAGAATAACCCTTAAGTCTCTCTCCTTTCATCAAAATTACACATTCCAGGCACGACAGCCTAACAAAACCCAGGCGAAAACGACCATCACAAACACACTGAGGGTGGGGGCGTCAGATACTACCTTCCTGAAATTACTTCTGGGGCAGCATAGTTGGGGGAGCCGCAACTTGTTCTTAAAAATTCACCATCTGACATCATGTTTGAAAGACCTGAAAATGCACAAAATCAACTACTCAGGATTTCCCAAGGACAAAAATAAAAGCAAAACTCCGTTAAACAATACAAGTGAGTTTGCATTAAGGAAATAAATCACTTTACTCTTTGCTCCAACAAAATTCTATAGTCTTTTCCATTCCCAAATTTTGCCACTATGCCCTAAAATTTGTCATGTATTTCAACATTTAAAATTAGTGTACTTTGGGAATTTAATGTGTATATAGTAAGCTATTTGTTATTGTGCTTACTAGAATAAACTTCATGTTTAAATTTTATTAGTACAGAAATTACTAAGGAAAAATGTAGAACAGAGTAGAAGAATTAAGTTTCTCTTAACCCCTGTTCTGATTCTTTAATAAGATATAATAATTTCAGAAATCAAAGCTTTTTCAGAAATCAAAGCTTTGAATAAAGCTTTGAGTTTCCTCATAGCTTTATTCCAAAAAGACACCTCTGCCTTCTCAAAAATGTCCTCTATGAAAATGATGATCACAGTTGTGGTACGAGAAAGTCAAATAATGTAGTCAACTACCAAAGAACAAAACAAAACAAAAAAATAATAGCTTAGGGCTGGCTGGCACTACTCAGTGAATCTCTATACACTGAAAAATATATATATATATTCAAAACTGAGGAAAATATAAGACTCTCCTCTGATTTGAACTGGAGCTAAGCAAAAGAAAGTTGCAGAGATTCATTTTTCACTCAGATTTAATAATGTTGATGGCAATTTATATAAAAAATAAAGGGCAAGTAAATTTATTTTGATGATCCATATAATGTTCCTCAAGCTGAAATGACGTTTTTCTCAAGTTGAAATTGGTTTTCTATCATTTAAAATACCTTTTTTTGTCCTGGCTGGTGTGGCTCAGTGGATTGAGTGCCAGCCTGGAAACCAAAAGGTCGCCGGTTCGATTCCCAGTCAGGGTATATGCCTGGGTTGTGAGCCAGGTCTCCAGCTAGGGGTGTGTGAGAGGCAACGGATGGATGTTTCTCTCACATGTCCACATTTCTCTCCCTCTCTATCTCCCGCCCTTCCCCTCTCTCTAAAAAGTAAATAAATAAAATAAAAAATGCCTTTTTTCATCCTGGCTGGCATAGCTCAGTGGATTGAGCGTGGGGTGCGAACCAAAGCATCGCAGGTTCGATTCCCAGTCAGGGCACATGCCTGGGTTGCAGGCCACGGCCCCCAGCAACCACATTGATGTTTCTCTCTCTTTCTCCCTCCCTTCCCTCTCTAAAAAATAAATAATTTTTTTTAAAAAAAACTAGCATCAGACTTTAAAAAAATGCCTTTTTTCCCTAAAATAATTTTATTCATATAGTTTACCTTCTGGCTTTCAACGCTTGCATAACTCCCTCCTAGGCTCTCTCCTCTCGCTCCATAGCTGATCAAAAGGACACACTGGTAAGAGGTTGCTAACTCCTCTTTCACGCTAACAGGCTCTGTCAAATAATGTCTCTACTGCCACCAACTTAAATTGTTTAGCTACTGTCACACAACTCAATTTTAAAGACACAGAGCTAAGAAAAGAGAATTCCTTATTTTCTCCTTTGTATACGTGCTCGTGAGCTGAACAGTGACGATACACTACTCTGGGAAACTCGGTCCATTACCCAAAAGTAAACGTTATCTGAAGACGCACGTCCGTTAACCGCAGCGACCGGAGGAAACCGTAAAACCCCTTACCGAAGTCAGCTATCTTCGCGTTCATGTGAGCGTCGAGCAGGACATTTTCCGGCTTCAGGTCCCTGTGGACCACCATGTGCCTGTGGCAGTAATCCACGCCGGAGAGGATTTGTTGGAAAAGACGTCGACTCTCTTTTTCATCCAGCTAAGGAAAGTAGAGAGACATCTTAAAAGTGTGGCTTTCACAAGTAATGCTTCTACCTATCAGTCCCCAAGCCATAGAACTGCAGGAAATGCACGAACCCTTCCAAATGAACCTCACTTGTCAGATACTTTCGAAATGCACAGGAGGGCCGCGCAGCCCGGACCAGGCGCGCTCAGGGGGCCCTGGAACCGAACCGGCGGCCCGGCACCCTACCGGCGTCAGCGCTGCCCCGACGCACCGCCCCAGCCTGCGCTCCTTCCCGTCCCACGAGCCAGCTCAGCTCACGCCAGGTTCCGCTGGAAACTAGGCGTGCTTTCCCCCACGAGGTCAAAACGTTTCATCGTCACTGTACCACGGGGCGTTGAATGATACACAGCAACAAATAAAACAGAGGACCTCACACAGTTGATAAAAACAGACAATTAAATGAACGAGTGAGTGATAGTGCTCTGGAGAAAAGTAAAGCAGGATAAGGACACAGAGAGTTACACTGTGGTGGGGATACTATTTTAAGCTGCATGAGGAATTAACATTTAAGCACTGCTAATGAATTAGCAAGCAACCATCTTATTGTATGTTCTGAAATAAAAGACATTCCAATTTTAACTAAAGAAAACCCTAATTTCATTTATTTTATAAAAATATAAAAGCCTTTATCTTTAATCTGCTTACTGAAAAAATTATGCCGCAAATACATTTTTTAGGTCAATATTTAATTTTTAATTTTTTTTCTTTTTTTTATTGTTGTTCAGGAACAGTTGTCTCCATTTTCCCGCAGACACATTTTTTAAAACACTCTTTTAAAAATTACGTTTCCAGCCTGGCCGGTGTGGCTCAGTTGGTTGGAGCACCGGCCACAGGCTCGATCCCCGTCAGGGCACACGGCCCGGATCCGGGCGCAGGCCCCGCCCCCGGTGTGTAGGCGCAGCACCCCAGACACTGTTCCCCTGTCATATCAACGTCTGTCTGTCTGTCTGTCTGTCTGTCTCTTTCTCTCTCTCTCCCCCCCGCCCCCGCTGCCATTCTCTCTCTCTAAAAGCAATGGAGAAATGTCCTCGGGCGAGGATAAAAAATAAAATAAAATAAAATTCTCTTTCCATGTATCTCTATTTCTGCATTTTCTTATTTTACCTGTTTCCCATAATCATTACTTAGACAGGCTTGCCCCTGACAAGTCATAGTTAATAAGAAGCTATCAATTCCGCTGGGCGAAGGAGTCTAATACGCAGTCTGTAACACAGATCACAAATGAGCATTCTCGGACCAGACTTTCATACCTTCAGTGACATGGACAACCAGGGAGAAGGGATGAAATAACTTTTTAATGCAGAATTAAAACTACCGAAGTGCTATGAGATGTCCTTCCTCCAAAAAAATACTAATGCATTAGCAATCTAACACCTTTGCTTCTAGAAGAAATGAAGGTTCATTTTTTAATACTTTATATCCAATATACTAAATGAAATAAAGGATGCATTCTACATGTGAAAGAGAAGAAAACTTAACGGATTAAACAAAAGGTAAGTGGTAACACAAGCAGATAGGCCGCAAAAATGAAGACCACACTGTGTCAATAATCGCACAGCACCAAGGATGAAGGCGGAAACCGCGGCGGAAGACTAGAGAAGACGAAGCACACTTCCGGTTACGCGGAGCCGGCGGAGCCGTCTGCTTCCGCTCCCGGAACTACTGCCGAGGTGACGTGACCAGATAAGGACACACAGACCCGGAGAGGGGACGGCAGGTCAAGAGGGGCCACACTGGAGAGCGGGGGCACAGCGGTTAACACGTCAGGGGCCAGAGGAGCCCGGGGCACACGCCCCCAGGGGTGGGGTGGAGGGCGGTCCTGAGCCTGCCCCTGCCCAGACCCCCGCACACTCAGCGGTCACACTCAGCGGTCGGAAGTGCTGGGAGTTTCTGAAGGCCGGAGCGAGGGAAGAAAGGAACTTCAAACTCCCCTCTACTGGGGAGGGAGACCCGCAGTTTATTCTTCGGTAAGGCGGACCCAGCTCTGTCCTCAAGGACTCCGAGGCAGGGACGAGGCACCAGAAGGAAGACGGGGGACTCGGTGAAAGTGGACACACGCACTAGGAACACCTTGCAGCCTCCGCCCCATCCAGGGGGCTGGCCGCTAGGCTGGCACTCCGGGGAGCTCGGGCGGTTTCTTTGGGAGCGACCATCTGATCCGGGGAAAGATGTTCATAATCACTGACATTGGGTGTGTCCCAACACCACGGCCAGGTCGCAACCTCATCACCCTCGGGGAGGCCCGCCCGTCAGGAAGCTCCACCCGCAGGAAGCTCCGCCCGCAGGAGCTCCGCATTTAGTGCCGCCTTCTCCGAGGAAGGGGCGACCCACGACCCACGAGGAGGGGCCCATGCACAGAGGACGAAGACCAGTGACGTGAATGACAGCAGCGCAGTGAGGCAGGGAGCACGGCGCGTACAGGAACAGCGCAGGGAACACGGGGAAAAATGTAACTGTCATCTTCAGACAGATAAAGAAGATCACATTTGTAGAAGAAAAAAATAGGCTATTTAAAGAGAAAATTTCAGGAAGCAAGCAAGATCTTGAAATAGAAAAACGACAACTGAAACTTTAATAAGCAACAGATAAAAACTGAAGAAAATTCCCATAAAGCAAACTGACCAAAAAAAAGAAAGACAGAAAAAGAAATACAGAAAAGAAAACAAAGATTCCACTTCGACTTGCGCCTGTTTCCATTTTTTCCAGGCAGAAAGGGACAGAGGGCTGGGAGGGGGAGGCAGTACAGTGGACAGAGAAGTACAATATCTAGAATTTAAATGAACCATGTCAGGAAATGGCTAATCAGAATTAACTTGGAGAATGAGTTGAGTCTCACGAAAGTAAACATATGCTACGCAGGATGAATGAACGAAGGATGCGAAGAACTTTAGATCGGGAAGGAAACAGAAAGGACTCGCAGTTCTAGACACAGCTCTTCCGGGGAGGGGCTTCTGCGGGCCACACAGCCTGGGTGTGAGAACAGGTGGGGGTGGGGCGGGGCGGGGCTCAGTTTTTGTATCTGGAACTTAAGACACTGCTCAAATGTCTGCTAAAGCTCCTTCCAACTCCAAATTCTTTCCGTCTGATTCCTACCTCCTTCACGGAGCCTGTACTTGCTACTTTAGGTACATCAGGTTTCTGAAACCAAGAAAGGAATGCAACCTAAAGGCGGCTAGGGTCAACCAGCATGGCCTAGCTCCTTAAGTATTGAAGAACATTTTGTAAGGATTAAATATATACAGAACTTTAAGACATATATTGAAAGCATTTGTAGGCCCCAAAGCATGAAGTCTGAGGATCGTGAGTTCTGGGGTCTCATTACGATTCTGTCATTAATATGTCACATGACCTTGAGCAAATACATACACTGTGAGTCCCCCTTTCCACATCTCTGTAAACTGACTACAAAAATAATCTATAAGGTCCTTACTAGCTCTAATAACCTATGATTCTAGACAAATATATGACTAAGGGAAAAGATTATTAAATAGACCTCTTAACAAAATTGCTTTCGAGTATCTTAAAACTAGTAAGGGACAAGGGGAGTTACAAAACAGATACAGGATTAAATTGGAACTGCTTACCCTTCCATTTTTACAGATATAATCAAATAGCTCTCCTCCTGAGACATATTCCATCACCATGAAAATGTCAGAAGGTGTACTGATGACCTGGTACCTGGTGAGAGAAAACATTGCCTGCCAACGTTAAAACATGCATGTCCATTCATTCAGTAAATGTTTACTAAGTGCCTACAATATTCCAGGTACTGCACTAAGAGCTGGGGAAACTGCAGGAAAAAAAACTTCTCTGCCCTCCTGTCCCTCACCTTCTAGGAGCCAGGAAACAAACATGAAATGGACAGGCAATACGTCAGGGAGTGGAACATGCTAGGAAGAGAAAGAGCAAATGGAGGGTCATCTCTCACATGGAGCGTTCAAGGAAGGCCTCTCGGATAAAGCAATATTTGAGCAGAGCCTCATGGAAGTCAGGGAGTAAACTGTGCCTCTGCCTAGAAAGAAGGTGACCCAGGCAGAGGGAACAGCAAGCACAAAGGGCATCCCCCAGGTGGGAGCCTGCCTGGCACGTTCAAGCAATGGTAAGACGGCTAGCAGGGTGAGCTGGGATAGAGAAACAGATGTGGAGCTGAAGAGGTAACTGGAGACCTGAGGACAGAGAACCTTACGAGCCATGATAGAGCTCTGGCTCTTACTCCAAGGGAGAGGAAGGTTTTAAACAAAGCAGGCGTGTGGTCTGGCCCAGTCACACCTTAGCTGTGGCAGCATCAGGAAGAACTGACCACAGGCAGTCAAGGCGGATGCAGGAGCCACGGCAGCCGTCCCTGCGCAACATGGAGGCAACTCAGACGGGGCTAATGGCGATGAAGGAGCTGGACGGAAGAAACGGGATGGAGAGTGGACGTGAGAGCAACCGGGAAGTTAAGTTTCCACCCTGAGGAACTGGACGTTCTCGGAGATGGTGAAAACTGCGGGAAGGGCAGGTTTGGGAGGGGAACAGAGAGCTCAGTTTCAGCCGCGTGGAATTTCTTGTGCTGCGTGGACATCCGCGTGGAGGACTAAAGCAGGCGGTGGGCACGGGCCTGGAGTTAAGGGGAGCGGCTTCAAAGCAGAGGGGATGTTCAGGGGTCATCAGCACACGGGCACTATTTGAAACCACAGCACCTCAGTCAATGAGAAGAGGTGAGAGTGAAACCAACTGGGGGTCAGCCAGGTCAGCACAAAAGTCGCAGCAGTTTTAACTTACGGTCTGTAGAACAAAGCTGGGCAGTAAATAAATCATCTGAAAACCCTACAACTGTGAAACAACAGTAATGTTACTGCCCTTCTGAAATACTGGATGCCTGATCTCCAAAACAGTTCTGTTTTATCAGATGTAAGCAACAGGGGAGAAAACCTTTTCGCTGCACGAACTCCAGCGAGGCTCACTGACTCCGGTTGAACGCTGTCCTAGCAAACCGCTGCCGGTTCTGCAGCACAAAGGGCACTGCGCGTCACCCACAGAAGGGCAGGGGTCCAGAAGACGAGACAGGACGGGAAAGGTGACTGCTGAGGAGCACAGGGGCAGCACGGGAACACAGGCTTAAGTGACACGGAATGGGGTTAGACAAACACACGGACAGGAAGAAACTTCAGCATCCTCAAGAACAGACCCAGGAGGTGACAGTCATCTTCCTCACCTCTCATATTAACCAGGTAACAAGACACGAGGGAAAAACTGGTAGGACTGCAGGTAGCACAATCAGAGCTTACAGTTTAATGATGTGCGGGTGCCGGAAGAGCTTGAGGTTCTGGATCTCCCTGCGGATCTTCCCCACCACGTCCAGGCTGCGGATCTTCTGCCGGTTGAGGATCTTCACAGCGACTTTGTGCCCGGTCAGCTCGTGCTTGCCGACTGCGGGAGGGGGGAAGCATGACCACGAGTCAGTGCCAGGCCTGCCCGGGTACTTACGCAGGCGTATATCCCAAGGGCAGTCATCCTCGCGTCCTCAGAAAATACTTGAGCAAACTGAACTCCCTTTCACCTCCGCCTGGTCTGCCTGTGTTTACAGGAGTGATTGAGTGGGAGAACACAGAAGAAACTGGTAACGCTGGTTCCTTCCAGGAGGCTGGAAGGCTAAGGGAGAAAGATGAGAGACTTTTTTTTTCGCACTTTTAAATTCTCTTCATTTGTTTTTCATTTTTAAAACCGTAATCTCACACATACCAACTGAATCACACACACGTTTTTCCTTTTGGTGTACAGTTCTACGGATTCTAACACAGGTGGACCCTGGTGTGACCACTGTCTCTACCAGACACAGAACAGCTGTGTCACCCCACAAAGCCCCCTCCCACTGTAGCAACCTCCCCACCCGTAGCCCCGTGAGCCTTTTAAAACTTGGTTCATGAGCATATAGTTTCCATTTTTTAACGTAAGAAAAAAAATTAAGCGATTATCTTTTCATTTTGAATGCAATGCCCTGATATTCAATGGTGATAGAATTTAGACATTTTTATAGAGGCGAAGTCTCCAGAAACTTCACCCTTTCTCCAGAACCAAGAAGATGGTACCCACTACAGGAGGAAAACGAAGAAGATCCCCAATGTGGCGAAGGAGCAAAGTCCCAGGTTAACAGATACGCAGAAGGCCCGGAGGCAACAGACCCAAACAGAAATGTTGCAGCGAAGCCGAGATGGTTACTTCCACAGGGGAAAACGGAGAAGAGTCGTCCAGGTGTGGGAGTGTGGACTATCACACTGACAGAATTTACAGAGACATCTGAGGATGTGGGGAATTTAAACTTAGTTTCAAAGAAAGTGAAACAAATGAAAAAATGAGGGAAGAACCCAAGGAAAATTAAAAGTTCTGTAGAAAATACAGTCACGATGTTGGCTTAGCAAACAGTTTTTATACAGTCACAATTATGAAAACACAAAACACGTATTTTTCAAAGGACGATGTAAGGTTATTAGGAGAATGAAGGGGTAAGAGGGAAGGTATAAGAGAATATCCTCATCTACCATAACAGGAAGTCAACAAAAAAAAGCCCGTCAATAAGAATTAAGAGATGGCTTATGTACATGCATATATTAATTAGAAATGTGGAGGGGTTTTTTTAAAGATTTTATTTCTTTATTTTTAGACAGGGGAAGGGAGAGAGAGAGAGGAAGAGAAACATCAGTGTGTGGCTGCCTCTCATGTGCCCCCTACTGGGGACCTGGCCCACAACTCAGGCATGTGCCCTGACTGGGAATCGAACCAGCGACCATTTGGTTCACAGGCTGGCACTCGATCCACTGAGCTACACCAGCCAGGGCAGAAATGTGGAGGTCTAAAAAAAAAAAAGACAAATACAAGAAGAAACAGCTAAGAGCTAAAAGTGGGGATAGGGAATTCTGTTTTATAAATATACCTCTTAGCACTATTTGACCTTTTAAAACATACATGTATTACTTTACAAAAAAATTTTAATTTTTAAGTATGTGATTTAGGGTTTTAGCTTACCAGGAAGAAAATGGTCCTTTTGAAATTAGAACGCAGCGTGTAAGACCATTATCAGAGAGCTCTCCCTCTCCCTGGCAATCTGGATCATTACCAGCCGAAAATTATGGTAATGGTAACAGGAAATCCCTCCTTCGGTATCTGCATTTGTTATGGGCTGACTGATGTCTCTCCCAAACTTTACATATTGAAACCCTAACCCCTCATACCTCCGAATGCGACAGGATTCGGAGACACGGCCTTCAGAGAGGTGACTAAGTTAAAATGAGACAATTCAGGGAGGCCCGAACCCCACCTCAGGGGTATCCCTGTAAGAGAAAATCTGGACACACGGAGAGACCGCAGGGGCACACGTGGGGCACTGTGAGCACGGGGGGGAGGGGGGGTGCTCTGCAAGCCACGCTGCGAGGCCTCAGAAGGAACCGAACCTGCTGCCACCTCGATCTCAGGCTTTAGACTCCAGACGGTGAGAAAATAAATTTCTGCAGCAACATTTTGTTTTGGCAGCCCTAGCAGATGAATACAATATTTTTTACTGTTTCTAAGTTCAAAACTCAATACTGATACTCTATACTTCTTGTGTTTAAAACATTATCTAGCCTGGCTGGTGTAGCACAGCGGATTGAGCGTGGGCCTGTGAACCAAAGCATCACGGGTTCGATTCCCAGTCAGGGCATGTGCCTGGGTTGCAGGCCAGGTCCCCAGTAGGGGGCATGCAAGAGGCAACCACACATCCCCCTCTTTCACTCCCCCTCTCTCTCCCTCCCTTGTCTTCTCTCTAAAAATAAATAAAATCTTTAAAAAAAAACATTATCTTCAACAAAGAACTTTTCTCAGGCCAATCTTAATAGGCTTTCCAGCTTCATCTGGAATTTGGGACAGAACTGAGCCTCACCATCTCTGCAAACCCCCCAGAAGGAGAACCTGACAGATGAGACTCAGAGGTTTTTGGCAAGTTCACACTGCTCCCCACCACGCTCACCAAGACAACGAGTCATGGGCCCTCCTGCCCCCACCCCCGGCCCTGCAATCCAGAGGGCCAGCGCAAGGGATGGGGTAGCTCCTCTCCATTCTGAATTTTTTAAGCCTCTGCTACTTTGCTTAAATATTTTAATTAATAATGTTAAATCCAAGGCCAAATTACACAGATATTTCACAATGGGAGAAAAAAGTCTTTGTTAAGTAAGACTCAAGGTGTTTAAGTTATAGCCCTAACTCTCAATCCTTTTCTTAAAAAAAAAAAAAAAGAAAAGATTTTATTTATTTATTTCCAGAGAGAAGGGATGGGAGAGAGAAAGAAAGAGAGAGAAACAATGTGTGGTTGCCTCTCATGCGCCCCCTACTGGGGACCTGGCCCACAACCCAGGCACGTGTCCTGACTGGGAATTGAACCAATGACCCTTTCGTTCGCAGGCCAGCACCCAATCCACTGAGCCAGTTCAGCTTCCATTTTGACCAGACCCTTTAGTCTTCACGGTGCCTTTACAAAGCAAATCTCACAAGCAAACAAGCAAATGTCCGACTGCAGCGCCCAGCCTGCTGTAACCGAAAGGATTATCTCAGAATCAGAGAGTAAAGTGCCATTTTTAAGCTACTATAATATAAAAGGAAACTCTAAATTTAACTACTCTTTCTATAGTTCAACTAATCTCAAAACCATCCATGGCTAAGAAATTACAGCAGCTTCCTGAAAGATGGCAGAGTAACGGAATGCACCGGATATACAACAAGGTCGGTCTGGAAAAAGTCCAGCCATTGTTAATGTAACAAGAATGGTTTGTGCAACATTGATGTAGCCTGAAAGCCAAGGAGAGGAGATTGGAATGCACATGAGTGAACAATGCTGACTTCACTGTACTGGTCAGTGGGGGGCGGTAGACACCACCGTTGGGTAAGCATGTGTACTGTGTGGCCGTCCATTCAAAATGACTCAGTAGAACAAAGACTCTGCATCCAATTTTGCACTAAGCTTGAACATTCCTCTGCGGAAACTATTCAGATGATTCAGAAGGTCGCAGTCACGGGAAACTGGTGACTGGCAGCTTCATCGCAACAATGCACCCACTCATGCATCCTGTCTCATGCGGGGTGTTTTTGTGAAACATCAAATCACCCAGGTGACTCAGTCCACCCACAGCCCAGATTTGGTGCCCTGTGACTTCTGGCTTTCCCCAAAACTAACATCACCTTTGAAAGGGAAGAAATTTCAGACCATCGATCAGATTCAGGAAATCTGAATCTGGTTCAGATTTAGATCACAACAGGGCAGCTAATGACGATGGGGAGAACTGTTTGAGATCCCCAGGTACCTACTTTGAAGGGGATTGAGGCGTCATTGTCCTATGCACAGTGTTTTTTGTATCTTGTATCTCCTTCAATAAATGTTTCTATTTTTCGTATTACATAGCTGGATACCTTCTGGACAGGCCTGGTACTTCCTTCTATCAAAACCTCATTAAAACATATGTGAAATTAGTGAGGAAGAAAACTCTACAGTCACAGCAAAAATGAACTGTGGAAGTCAAGCACATTCTTATTTCCGATAAGGCTTTCTTCAATCTCCAATACCAAGCAGACATGATTAAGAGCAACCAACTTGGCTGTGAAAACACAATTCAAGAAGTATTTTCTTTCTAAGATCTAGTTCATTGATATCTAAATAAGTAGTAATCTCATCTGCCCCAACGACCCCCAAAATCTCCAAGCCCTGTCTTACTTACGAGGAACCTTTCCCCATTATGTGCACAGATGAAACACTGGGAAATATGCACAATATTGGTAACACTGGCAGGCTGAGACTTGGAAATATTACCGTAGAACCCATTTAGGCCTGAACTCCATCACAAATCAACCAGTCTCCTCTCATATCATGCTCTAATCCATTTAATTTCAGCCCCAGGCAGCTTTAAGAAACAGCTGGGGTGATTCAGAACAGATGCATACGTTCTGCTGTTAAATAAGGAAGTGCAGGAGGGATTCAAAGCACCCTCTCAAGTGTGCTCCCCCAGCACCATGTGCTAAGCACCTACTCTGTGCTAAGCACCTACTCGGTGCCTGTTCACGCTGCCAGGAAAAATGGTGCTAACCAAAAGCAGCCTGGGTTCTGTGACCTTCCTGGCCTCCAAGGGTGACCACAATAATTACAAGGTTGGAAGAAAAATTACAGCACCAAAGAAGAAAAGGGGGGCAGAGAATACACATTAAGCTCACCCAAGAAATGAATGTTTTAGGGAAAACTATTAACTACTTCGGGGTGATAGTTAAGACAATGTAGAAGTTATGAAATTAGAGCAGAGCCAGACAAATTTTGCATCAGAAAAAAAAAAATTTCAAAAGCAGTTAAGTTGTAGCAAAAATGTGACAAAAATTTATGGGACACATACCAAAAAATGAGGAAGAAATTAGCAAGA